ACTCCAGTACTCTTATTTTTTGTTGTTGTTGGTTATGGGGCTTGAACTCTGGGCCTGGGAGAAGTCCCTCAGCTCTTCAGCTCAAGGCTAGCCCTCTACCACTTGAGCCACAATGCCACTTCTGGCTTTTTCTGCTTACATGTGCTGAGGAATTGAACCCAGGGCCTCATGCATATGAGGCAAGCACTCTACCACGGAGCCACCTTCCCAGCCTTCCAGTACTCTTTAAAGTTTGGAATCTAGGGATGCATTAAAGGTATAAGAAGGCTTATTTTGGCTTTTATATGAGACTATTTCCATTTTCCTTCTTTGTTAGTCTGGACTCTTGAAAAAGCATGTGAAGACTTATATTTCTGGTTGGCACACTTTCATTGCCAACCAGCTGCGATTCAGTCTACATATCCTGCCAAATATTGAGATAACTATAGCATAGGCTCTTAATTTGCATGACTGGTTTTGTAGCCAATACATTTTTTCCGTTTACTTAAAGCTGTAACTGAATATTTGTGTGAGCTTGGTGATTGTGTTTGTCAAGAAATTATTAACTTTGATTTTAGAGTTGAAAGTTATTTATTTATTTATTTATTTGGTTCCGGTCGTAGGGCCTGAACTCTGGGCCTGAGTGCTATCCCTCAGCTCTTCAGCTCAAGGCTAACACTCTACCACTTGAGCCACAGCACCACTTCTGGCTATTTTTTTTTTCTGCTTATGTGGTGCTGAGGAATCCCAGGGCTTCATGCATGCAAGGCAAGCACTCTACCACTGGGCTACCTTCCCAGGCCCATGAAAGTGATTCTTTAGAAAGGGAAATCAGTTGTTCTATTCTTGAAAGTTGAAAGCATGTTAGAACCCTGAGATGATATTATCAAGTCATTGGATAACATATAGGTGATCAATGAAGATTAGTTAAAAATCCTGGAAATAAGCTTGGTATGGAATTCTAGCTATTTGGGAGGCTGAGATTAGGAAGATCATGGTGTGAGGACAACCTTGGGCAAAAATAGTTTGTGGGGGACTCCCCCTATCTCAGCCAGTAAAAAAATGGGTATGGTGGCTGTGTCCCTCATCCCAATTAGGAAGGAAGGATTAATAGGAGGATTTTGATCCAGAGCAGTGGAGCAGAAATAGAGACCTTAGTTGAAAAATAATGAGAGCAAAAAGGGTTGAGAGGGTATGGCTCAAGTGGTAGTGATAGAGTGTAGCAAATGCAAGGCTTTCAAATCCCCTGTACTGAAAGAAAAATCCTCAAATTTCTTTCCTTCCCTCTCCTTCCTTCTCTCAATCCCTCCCTCCCTCCCTCTCTCCCTTCCTTCTTTCCCTTTCCCTTTCCTCCGCTATCTTTCCTCTTCTTCCTTTCCTTCTTCTCTCCCTTACTCCCTCTCTTCCTTCTTCCTTCCTATTTCTTTTTTTTTCCTATTTCTTTTTTATTGGAAGTACTAGGATTTGAACTTAGGACTTTGAACTTGCCCTGGCTTGCATGATTGGCTAGTGTTCTACCATTTGCACCATACCTCCAGTCTGGCTTTTTGTTGATTTTTATGGTTTTTTTTTTTGTTTGTTTGTTTTTGTTTTGCTCTTGATTAGCTTTACTCAAGGCTGGCATGCTACCACTTGAGCTACATCTCCAGTTCAGATCTTTCACTGGTAATTGGAGATAAGATTCTTAAATTTGTCTGTCCTGGCTAGTTTTGAACCATAGTCATCAGATCTCAGCCTCCTTAGTGGCAACGATTGTAGTTATGAGTCCCTGGTGCCCAGCATTGCTGGTTATTTTGGAGCTGGAGCCTTGAAAGCTTTTCTGCCAGAGATGGCTTTAAACTATAGTCGTCTGGGTCTTAGGCTCATGAGTAGTTAGGGTTACAGGTATAAGTCATCAGTGTTTAGCTTTGAATGCATTTATTTTATTTTTGCCAGTCCTGGGGCTTGAACTCAGGGCCTGGGCACTATCCCTGGCTTGTTTTGCTCAAAACTAGTGCTCTACCACTTGAGCCACAGTGCCACCTCTGGCTTTTTCTGTTTTATATGGTACTGAGTAATCGAACCCAGGGCTTCATGCATGCTGGGCAAGCACTAAGCCACCTTCCCAGCCCTGAATGCATTTTTAAAAATAGAATTTATATAAAGTCAACTAATTTTTAAGAAAAGTAGATAAGAGGCCTGTTACTTAATTAGTTTCTATTTTGTGCTTAATCTTTTATCAGTTGATCCTTAACCAGAGCTATGTAGTGCTTTTTTAAAAAATTTCTTGTTGGGCTGGGAAGATGGCTCAGTGGTAGAGTGCTTGCCTCGCATGCATGAGGCCCTGGATTCGGTTCCTCAGCACCACATAAGCAGAAAAAGCCGGAAATGGCACTGTGGCTCAAGTGGTAAAGCACTAACCTTGAGCTGAAGAGCTGAGGGATGGTGCCCAGACCTAGAGTTCAAGCCCCACAACTGACCAAAAAAAAAAAAAAAATTCTTGTTACAAAAAGGGTAAGTATAGTTTAGAGGTTGAATAATTTGAACTAGTAGATTTGTGGAACATCCAAAGTCGTCTTTCCATTCAGTGCTGCTGCATTCTGATATGAATGAACTTATTTTTCTCGTATTCAGAGCCATGTAATTAAAACTATAAGAATAGCTTTATCTTGATAATGAAATAACTTGATGTTGAAATAACTTTTTTTTGAAATAACTTTTTTTTAACAAGAATATGATCAAAGTATCTGAATAACTGCCCTTATTTTTACAGATAACAAGTATCTTTTAAATTTTTTTGTGCTGTATATGACTGAATTTTGTTTTTATTTTATTTTTGTTGGTTGTGGAGCTTGAACTCTGGGCCTGGGCACTGTCCCTGAGCTCTTCAGCTCAAGGCTAGCGTTCTACCACTTGAGCCACAGCACCCGCTTTTGGTTTTTTCTGTCTATGTGGTACTGAGGAATCAAACCCAGGGCCTCATGCATGCGAGGCAAGCACTCTACCACTGAGCCACGAAACTGATAGGTATCTTGGTGGCTTTATCACTAAATTTTTCTGGAGTAACTTTCTTAGCACCACCTGCAAGATGATTAAAAGCTGTCTTCTCTCTTCATATACATACACACACACATATATATATATATGTATAAATTATATATGTAAATTATACACACGGTGTGGATATGTGTGTGAGTGAGAGAGAGTGATTTGCTTTTTGTGCTGGTCTTGGGGCTTGAGTTCAGAGCCTGGGTGCTGTCGCTGAGCTTTTTTGTTCAAGGCTAGTGCTCTGCTGCTTGAAGCCACAGCTCCACTTCCACTTGTTTTTTGGTGGTTACTTGAGAACTCAGGGACTGTGATCCTCAGATCTTAGCCTCCTGAGTAGCTAGGGTTACAAGGCATGAGCCACTAGTGCTTGTTTCACCTTATAATTTTAACATCTACATCTTTTTTTTTTTGGTCAGTTGTGGGGCTTGAACTCTGGGGCTGGGTGCTGTCCCTCAGCTTTTCACCTCAAGTCTAGGGTTCTACCACTTGAGCCACAGCGCTGCTTCCAGTTTTCTGGTTTATTGGAGATAAGAATCTCACTGCTTTTCCTGCCTGAGCTGGCTTTGAATCTCAATCCTCAGATCTCAGCCTCCAGAGTAGCTAGGATTACAGGTGTGAGTCACTGGCACTTGACCTAACCTTGTTTTTTTAATCAATAAAAATTTGCATTTGAAAATTTAATCTGTAATACTCCGAGAATGTGCTTGCAAGATTTTCTTAAAATTTTATAAGATGAGAAACAATGAAGTTCATTGATAGACCCCAGATCTACCCCCAATTTGTTTTTCATTCTCCTCTACTTTGTCTTTTATCTTTTCCTCTTATCTTTTTTAAAAAAGATGGGGTATTGTCATATAGCTCAGCTGTTTGAACTTGAAATCCTCTTGCCTTAGCCTCTCAAAAGCTTCTGGAGTTACAGGTATTTGCCACCATGTCCTGACTTCCCTCTTTTTCCCCTTCCCTTAAAAGTTTTAGACTGCCATCCATGAATGAAGTTTCCAGAGCATGAGGTTGTGAGTTCAAGCCCCAGTACTGGTGAAAATAAATAAATAAAAATTCCCGAAGTAGAAGATGATAGGCATATTAAGAAATATTAACTAGTTGATATGCATAAACAACTACTGTAGCCACTAGGCATCAGAACCAGTATTAGAATTTCCTTGAAAGCTTGGTGCCCAAGGTTCACACCTGTAATCTTAGCTACTGAGAGCTAAGGATCATGGTTCAAAGCCAGCCTGGGCAGGAAAGTCCTTGGGACTTTTATCTCCAGTTAGCTACCAGAAAGCCATAAATGGAGTTGTGGCTCAAAGAGATAGAGTGCTATCCTTGAGCACAAAAGTTTAGGGATAAGAACCAGGACCAGCAAACAAACAAAAAAATCATTTGGGATCTGGTTTTTAGAATTAGTAGAAAGAATAGAAATTAGTAGAAAGAATAGAAATAACTGGGGCCAGACTTCAAGACAGAACTTTTTGGCATCTTATCTCATCAACATACAAATACCGCTGTTAAGACTTTTTTTTGTTGTTGTTGGTCACGGGGCTTGAACTCTGGGCTTTGGCGCTGTCCCTCAGCTCTCAGCTCAAGGCGAGCGCTCTACCGCTTGAACCACAGAGCTACTTCCGGTTTTCTAGTAGTTTATTGGAAATAAGAGTCTCAGGGACTTTTCTGCCTGGGCTAGCTTTGAACCGTGATCCTCAGCGTCCTGAGTAGCTAGGATTATAGGCGTGAGCCACTGGTGTTAAGACTGAAATCTCTTGAAAGGGTTTTAGGGTGACCGTTTTAAGAGAGTTGGATGTCTGAGGGAGGGGTTACTAGAAGACAGGAGAAAAGGTAGAAGGCAGCTGGTTGTGTATTAATTTCGTTACTTAGTGAAATTATCTCAGTTATTTCATGATTAATGATTAATTGCTTCTGTACTGTTATGCAGATCTACTTGTTAACTTTTATATTGATGACATTCTTGTTTTTTATACTTTGACTCATTTTTATAGATACAATGGAGAATTTTAGTGATGATCTTGAAAAAAATAGTCACCATTTTCACAAAAATGCTGAAGACAATGCCAAGAAACCCACCATAGAAATCACAGTGGCATCTGGATACAAAGCTGATGAAATCAAGGAAACAAATGATACTTGGAACTCCCAGTTTGGAAAAAGATCAGAATCTCCATCTGAAATATCTGCAATCAAAGGCTCTGTTAGAACTGGTCTATATGAATGGGATAATGATTATGAAGATATCAGATCAGATGATTGTATTTTAAGTTTGGATAGTGATCCTCTTTTGGAGATGAAAGAGGAGGATTTTAAAAATCGCTTGGAAGATACAAATGAAGCCATGGAGGAAGACATTTTGCAAAGTGTTCTTAGGCCAAGCAACTGTAGGACGTATTGTAGGGCCAATAAGGCAAAATCCTCACAAGGAGCTTCAAATTTTGATAAGCTAATGGATGGTACCAGTCAGGCCTTAGCCAAAGTCAACAGTGAATCAAATAAAGATGGCCTGAATCAGGCAAAGAAAGGTGGTGTAAGTTGTGGGACCAGTTTTAGAGGGACGGTTGGAAGGACTAGAGATTATACTGTTTTACATCCATCTTGCTTGTCAGTGTGTAATGTTACCATACAGGATACCATGGAACGCAGTATGGATGAATTCACCTCATCCACTCCTGCAGATTTAGGTGAGGCTGGCCGTCTCAGAAAAAAGGCGGATATTGCAACTTCTAAGACCACTACTAGATTCCGACCTAGTAACACAAAATCCAAAAAGGATGTTAAACTTGAATTCTTTGGTTTTGAAGATCATGATGAGACAGGAGGCGATGAAGGAGGTTCTGGAAGTTCTAATTACAAAATTAAATACTTTGGCTTTGATGACCTCAGTGAAAGTGAAGATGATGATGATGACTGTCAAGTGGAACGAAAAACCAGCAAAAAAAGAACTAAAACTGCTCCATCACCCTCCTTACAGCCTCCTCCTGTAAACAATGATAATTCCCAGGACAGTCAAACTAGTGCTAATAATTCAGGTAAGAATTTTATTTAAAAGTGTGTGTGTTGTGTAAGTGTACACGCACACCATACGTGCATATGCATGACGGTTTTCAGATTTAAATCAATAGCTTAGTTCGTTCCTTATTCAATGTTTATTACTTGTAGTTTTAATACAAGTATGAATATGTATTTAGAACCTCAAATTACCTTATCCAAAAGTAATGTGAATGATCAAATGATCATTTATTGCTGTGTGTGTGTCCTAGAGCTTGAACCCAGGGCCTGGGCACTGTCCTGAGCTTTTTTGCTCAAGGTTAGCACTGTACCCACCCCTTGAGCTGTTCTACTTCTGGATCTCTCTTTTTTTTTTTTTAGTCTGGTCGTGGGGCCTGAACTCTGGGCCTGGGCACTGTCCCTCAGCTCTTCAGCTCAAGGCTAGCACTCTACCACTTGAGCCACAGCGCCACTTCCAGCTCTTTTCATTTTGCTTATGTGGTGCTGGGGAATCGAACCCAGGGCCTCATGCATGCAAGGCAAGCACTCTACCACTGAGCCACCTTCCCAGCCCACTTCTGGTTCTTTTATGGTTTATTGGAGATAGGAGTCTCACTGACTTTCCCAGGCTGGTTTTCAAACTGTGTCAGTGAAGGGAAGCTAGGTATCATGAATACTAACTAGGTACTAAACTACTGAGCTACATCTCTAGCCAAGCACTTGAGAGTTTAAACTGGGTGTCTTGGACAAGGACAGAAACCAAATATTTTGATGTTTGAGCTGTGAAAGTCCAAGTGCAATAGACATATAAAGCTAGATTTTGTACCTTTGGATTTATATTGATAACATTTGGTAATGAGGAAAGTACTAGAAAAGTAAAATTTACTAAAATCCTTTGTAGTTGCCCTGAAATGAATAGACATTTAAAACATTCTCAAACCCTCTTAAATTGGTTTTATAACATTGAAAAGTGTTAGAGAAGCATTCTTTATCTTTTAAGGTTATAGGCTCAGGGATGAGGTCCTCTGTATAGTTCAGTCTTCACTGTGAGCCATAAGTGAGTAGCTTAGCTGTGGTATAATTAAGTTGTTACCTGAGAAGAACTTTGTAGTGGATTGATGACGTGAGTGAGGAGGAATTTGTGAAAGCTTCTGTGTTACATTTTCTGGATTGGTGTACTTAACACACACACACACACACACACACACACACACACACACACACACACCCCTTTTGTACACACACACACACACACACACACACACACACACACACACACACACACACACACACACACACACACACACACACACACACACACACACACACACACACACACACACACACACACACACACACACACACACACACACACACACACCCCCCCCCCCCTTTGTCCTATTGGAATTGTAGAGGAATTGTAGAATTGTCATTGTGGTAAAATAGAATTATACAATAATCTTGAGAGTATACTTTGCTTTTTTAACAAAAATAGTTTTGCTTGGGGGCTGGGAAGTTGGCTCAGTGGTAGAGTAATTGCCTCGCATGCATGAGGCCCTGGGTTCAGTTCCACCACATAAGCAGAAAAAAAGCCAGAAGTGGCGCTGTGGCTCAAGTGGTAAAGCACTAGCCTTGAAGAGCTGAGGGACAGTGCATAGGCCCGGAGTTCAGCCCCCACAACTGACCAAAAAAAAAAAAAAGCGTTTTGCTCAATTAGAATCATTCTTTTTGGTGCATGATATTGAGCCTTAAGTATGTGAGGCATGTGTTCTACCATTGAGTTACATTCCCCAGCAGGAGTGTCACAGGCCACCAGTTCATGCCTGTAATCCTACCTACTGTAATCCTACTCAGAAGGCCTGGAGGATTCTGAGCTATGTCTCCAACCCAGGCCTCTAAACCCTAGATTCTGGTTTGAAGCCAGCCAGACAGAATAGTCTGTGAGACTCTCTCTCTAATTAACTAGCAAAATGCCAGAGTAGAGGTGTGGCTCAAGTGGTAGAGCACCAGCCTGAGCTGCACAGGAGTATGAAGCCCTTAGTTGAAGCCTGGTACTGAGAAACATAAAACAAAATAAAGCAAAACAAAACAAATGCAGGAGCATCTAGGGGCTCAGCCCCTCTCTGTTTGCAAAAACAGGAAGGGAAGGCAGTATTGTCAAAATTTCTCCAGTGTTGTCTTTGGATTCTTTTTGGAGAACTAAAGTTTGTAATGGACACTTGAGACTTGATACTTCTGTATAATACCAGACCTTTTGCTCCTGTCCTTTTGCAATTTACGTCTTGTACTAACCTGGATTGCAAGTTACCCTAATTTGCAGTTGAAAGTCTTGTTGCTTTTACATCTTGGGGTAATAAACATTTACTTTCAGAACCTTGAAGTTGATACTTAATAACATTTGAACATTGGAGACCATTTGGATGATAAGCCCCAAGTTGAAATTTAAATCTTATAATGTGTGAAGCAGTAAACATTTTAAAAGATGGAGTAAAGTCTTTTTTTTTTTTTTAAGAAAAACTATTAGGCAGCTGAGTCTGCAGGCTGCCTCTGGTTTAGTTGGAAACTCAGGCAGTTGGGGGAAAAGGGTGGAACCACACAGCCAGGATTTATCAAGGCTAGGGGCTGGAGATGTGACCACAGCAGAATAGGGTGTTACCTCAGGGAAATGGGGAGGTTACTACCTCCAAGTGTGCCAGTTACCTAGGTGATGCAGGTACTAGGCAGAAACTTAGCCAAGAGGAGGGAGGAGTCTGTTCCACCTTCCCAGGGTGGACCTTACAATAACCATTTGGGAAGTAATCTAAATCTTTTAGAAATATTTGAGTAAAGACCCACTCTGTATAGTTTTGCTAAGTATAGCTATCTTTTAATGTTTTTTTTGTTTCAATTTTTTTTTTTTTTTTTTGTCGCTTGTGGGTCTTGAACTCTGGGCCTGGGCGCTGTCCCTAGCTCTTCAGCTCAAGGTGAGCACTCTACCACTTGAGCCACTGCGCCATTTCCAGTTTTCTGAGTGGTTTATTGGAGATAAGTTTCACGGACTTTCCTGCCAGTGCTGGCTTTGAACTGCAATCCTTAGATCTCAACCTCCTGAGTAGCTAGGATTACAGGCTTGAGCCACTAGTGCCCCAGCTAAATTTATTTTGTTTGCCCTTTTTTTGTGTGTGTGTGCTGGTCTTGGGGCTTGAACTCAAGACCTGGGCACTCTACATTTGAGCCACTACTTCTATGTTTTTTGTTTGTTTGTTTGTGTAGTTTATTGGAGATAAGAATCTCATGGACTTTCCTTACTGGTCTGGTTTCAAACTGTGATGGTCACATCTCAGCTTCCCAAATAACTAGGATTACAGGTGTGAGCCACTGGCACTTGGCTGGTTTTTTGTTTGTTTGTGCTTGTCCTGGGGCTTGAACTCGGACTGAGTGCTGTCCCTGAACTTTTTTTGCTTAAGACCAGTGCTCTTCCACTTGAGCCACCGCTCTACTTCTGGCTTTTTGGCTTGAAACTTCCATCCTCAGATTATCAGCCTCCTGAGTAGCTAAGATTACAGGTGTGAGCCACCAGGGTCCATTATTATTATTTTTAAAGCAGTTTGCTAGGTCAAGGCTGCTCCCTTGCTATTTAAGAAAGTTGTCACTGGGTGCTTGTGTCACACTCCTGTAATCCTAGCTACTCAGGCTGGCCTTGACAGTTCTCAGTCTGCTGAGTGCTGAGATTACAAGTATGAGCCACAATACTTTTTTATTTTTATTCTCATTTAATTTTTATGTTTTTACTTTTTTTTTTTGTAGGTGTGGGGCTTGAACTTGGGTGGGGTGCTGTCCCTGAGTTCTTTTGCTCAAGGCTAGGACTCTATGAGTTTGAGCCCCATCACCACTTCTGGTTTTCTTTTTTTTTTTTTTTTTTTTTTGGGGGGGTCCGGTCATGGGGCCTGAACTCTGGGCCTGGGCGCTGTCCCTCAGCTCTTCAGCTCAAGGCTAGTACTCTACCACTTGAGCCACAGCACCACTTCCGGCTTTTTTCTTTTTTGCTTATGTGGTGCTGAGGAATCGAACCCAGGGCCTCAGGCATGCAAGGCAAGCGCTCTACCACTGAGCCACCTTCCCAGCCCCAAAAGCAAATTTTTTTTTTTTTTTTGGGTCCGGGCATGGGGCTTGAACTCTGGGCCTGGGCGCTGTTCCTCAGATCTTCAGCTCAAGGCTAGCGCTCTACCACTTGAGCCACAGTGCCACTTCCGGCTTTTTTCTTTTTGCTTATGTGGTGCTGAGGAATGGAACCCAGGGCCTCAGGCATGCAAGGCAAGCGCTCTACCTATGAGCCACTTTCCCAGCCCTCACTTCTGGTTTTCTGTCTCACAGACTGTTTCTTGCTTGGACTGGCTTTGAACCATGATCCTCAGATCTCAGCCTCCTGATTAGCTAGGATTACAAGTGTGAGCCACCAGCACCCCACTCTTGTTTTTTCAACAGTGTGGTCCTTGTAGATAAAAGCAGGTATTCTTTTAAGACCAACATGATTCAGTGGATTTAGAATCTAGGAAAATGATTTTGTATGTTTGTGAACAGTGCCACATCACTGTTAGTGTCCATAGACAATCTAGCAGTTATATGACCTATGGATTTAAAGTGTGTTTTGGAAAATACTTGGTTTTGGTTTTTTTTCTTGCCACACAGAATTACAATGTATATACAACTGAGTATTTAAAGCATGAGGTGAGAATGGGTGCCATTTGTCAACTCTGTCGTGCTTGTATTTGTTTTTTCCCCAGTATGCTGAATAGTCAAGCTTTCTCATAGATAATTTGACATATTAGAAAGCTAGCTAGTTTTGATTACCATTTCAGAAAACTTGGATTTTACAGAGGACTTGCCTGGTGTGCCTGAAAGTGTGAAGAAGCCCACAAATAAACAAGGAGATAAATCAAAAGAAAATACCAGAAAGATTTTCAGTGGCCCCAAACGGGTGAGTAAAGCATTGTCTTTGATTTTATTGTTTGTTTATTTATCATTGGAAGGCTCAACTCTGAAGTTTTTACTGGAAAATTACTTGTAAGCATTGTGATAATGTCTTTCAAAGGATATATATATATATATATATATACATATATATATATATATACATTTTTTTTCTTTTTGAAGTTACTGTAATTTTATAAAAAAAGTATAAGTAACTTTTATTGCTTAACTATTTTCACATATTCAAATCAGTGATGGTAAGTATATTCACAGTGTTTTATAGTTACTCTGTTGTCTGTATACAAAAGTTTTTCATCTGTGCTCATTAAACAGTAATTCCTCATTCCTTTTCACTCATGGTAAAAAAATGTCTCATAAATGTACTCATATGATATTCTTCTCTAGCTTAACTCACTAAACAATATTTCTAAGGTTCATTCATGTTACAGAATATTTGAAAATTTCATCTGTTTTGGGATATATAATGTACTCACATTTTGTTTATTCAGCTTTTTTGTTTGTTTTGTTTTGCTGTCTCTGAGCTGCTTTTGCTCAAGGCTGATGCTCTACAACTTGAGCACAGCATCACTTCCACTTTTTCTGTGATTTAAGTGGAGATAAGAGTCTCACAGACTTTTTCCTTGGCTGGCTTTGAACGGTGATCCTCACATTTCAGCCTCCTGAGTAACTAGGATTACAGGCATGTGCCTTCTGCACCTGGCTTCTTTTGTCCTTAAATTGTAGTTAACTAAGGATGACTGGTCATAGTAATGTGCTCAGATATTACAGGCTCGGTTGCTGGCAGCATAGCTCAAGTGGTAGTGTGCTTGCCTAGCAATCATGAAACCCCAAGTTCAATCCCCAGGACCACTTTAAAAAAACCCAAACAAGGGCTGGGAAGGTGGCTCAGTGGTAGAGTGCTTGCCTTGCATGCTCAAGGCCCTGGGTTCGATTCCTCAGAACCACATAAGCAAAAAGAAAAAAGCCGGAAGTGGCGCTGTGGCTCAAGTGGTAGAGCGCTAGCCTTGAGCTGAAGAGCTGAGGGACAGCGCCCAGGCCCAGAGTTCAGGCCCCACAACTGGACCCAAAAAAAAAAAAAAAAGAAAGAAAGAAAAATAATTAAAAAAAAAAAAACCCAAACAAAAAAAAATCGAAAACAGATTACAGGCAGGCCTGTACTCCTAGCTACTCTGGAGGCTCAGATTCAGAGAATTATAGTTCAAAACTAGCCCCTGTAGACAAGTCCACTAGATGATATCTCCAAAAAGATGGATTGGAGTTATAGTTCAAGTGGGAGAGCAGCAATTGAGCAAAGAATATGAGCAAGTGTGTGGTACTGAATTCAGGCTCTGGCAGCAGCAAAAATAAAATTTGAGTTAATTTTATTTTTTTTGTTTATTTAATCATAATACATTTAAGTCATTGTTCTGTTTATATGTGTATATTGTTTATTTTCTCCCAGTGCTGGGAATGCAGTTCAGACTCTAGTGTATTTTAGGCAAGTTCTCTACTATTGGCCTTGTGCTTATTTTTTTTTTCTAACTTAGTTTTAAACAGTATTGACTTTTGTTTTTTCTACTAACATAAGCTTAGCAAGTACTAGTATACATGTACTTGACCTGATTTTGAAGGCATCTATCTAGCCTGAAGTAAATCAGGTCACAACAACTAAGTCAGTAGCAGACCTATTTACTGTTGAGGTAGTATGTTTGTTTCAGAGGAAAATTACAGTGATTATTGCTAATTTTTTGAAACTAAAAGCTATTTGAAGTCATTTGAAAGATGTAATATGGGTAAAGCCCTATGTTAACACAATAGTGCTATTATTTTATTCCCTGAAGAGGCTTGAGTAAATGTCACTTTTTTTTTTTTAATATGAGGAAAGTAGTATTCATAGAAAGCTCAATTCTCCAAGGGATTTTAATGCCCATTACTCTCCTGCATTTTTGGGTGGCAATCTGCACAAGTGGTTATAGGAAATGATCTCAGTAGTTGTCCTATGCTCTGTAATAGAGACTCCTTCATGTGGCTGTGGGAGTATCTGGGTCTCTGTGATTAGTTCTTTTAATCTGCTTAGATTTAATGGTACTGGTGACCCATTTCCAAGTGTTAGTTTCTCAGCCTAAGTACTGTTGACATTTTGAACTTAATAATTCTTGGTGGTGGAGAGTGATCCTGTATATTGCAAGCTACACAGCAGTATGGCTGGGCTCTCCATCCTGAGTAATTTTAACCAAAACCTTCTTCAAATGCTGCCAAATGTCCTCTGGGGATGAAAACCATCCCCCTTTGATACAGAAATGTGTATGTGTGTTGTGTGTATATGTCTTGTCTGGCTGACTAAAGAGTAAATTTAGGCCCATGCCCTTTATGGTGCTTTGTACTTCTAAAAATATTCAAAAAGCATAGAAATAGAGTATGAATTCAAGAAGTTAACACTGATGTAATAATGAAATTAACTGCAAGTTCCATTCAAATTTTACTAATTGGCTCTGATAAAAAAATTTTTGTAGTATAACAAGTAAACCACCTCTCCTGAACACAAAGAGCCCATGATTTTCTGTTCAAAATTATACTGTGTTGTCACAAGTCTATTCTTCTTCATTCTATTAAAGTATGTTTTCCTGGTATTTTCATGGTTTCAACACTTCCCCCCCCCATTTTGTGGGGAAGGGCAGTTCTGGGGCTTGAACTCAGGGCCTTGGCTACTGTCCCTGAGCTCTTTTTGCTCAAGGTTAATACTCTACCACTTGAGCCACAGCTCCACTTTTGGCTTTTTTAATGTTTAATTGAAGATGAGATCTCAGCCTCCTGAATAGCTAGGATTACAGGTGTGAGTCTCTAATACCTAACAGTTCCAACATTTTTGAAGTTAGTTTTGTAGAATGTTCCTCATCTTGGCTTTTGATACTTATTCATTGTCATGATTTTGGTTGAGAACACCAAAGGTGATGTGTTCTCACCATGTCATACTAGGTAGAGACACAATGTCACTTTATACCTTTACTGTTGATGTTAGTTGAATGTTAGGGAGTTTCAATCAGGTTCTTCATTTTTCCATATCAAACATTAACATACTAGTTTTAGCACTAATTTTTTTCCCCTTTTTAAAATTTAAGATTTTTATAATGTCTTGCTATATACCCTGTGCTGGTCTCCTGAGTGCTAGGATTACAGATTGTACTGCTGTTCTCAGTTTTAGCTCTTTTTTTTGAGCTTATCTCTAAGTGTAGTTCGAAAGGATTTCAGTTCACCTTATCGATTTATGAGTACAGTTAGCACTTGTTCTAATTTTTACTATTTATGATCGACAAATGTGATATCCTGATTTTATCTTTAGTTCTACAGTTAACAGTAGGCCTTTTTAAAGGTGGATCTTGTTTTCTTCATATATGTATTTGTATTCATAGATTTCTGCTTCGCTCATTGATTTCTTATTCTTTATTTGATAGTTCTATTGGTCTTAAATTTATATTTTCTTAGATGTGATCAGTAGATGTCCTTTCAACTTGGCTTCTGCCATGGCCCATCGTTTTACATTTACTGGTTCCAAATACACCGTATATTTTGCCTGGTTATAGAGTCAGGCATTTCTCCAAGAACTCCTGTTTCAATTTAGTAGAGAATGGTATTTCATAGCAGTAATCTAGTTACCTGAATATGGATATCTCTTCCTCTCCTCCCCTTTCTCTCCCCTCCTTTCCCCTTTTGTGCCAGTCTTGGGCTCAAGGCTGGGCATTGTCCTTGAGCTTTTTTCCCTTAAGACTAACAATCAATCTACCCATTTGAGCCGCAGCTCCACTTGCTTTTCATTGGTTAGTTGGAGATAAGAGTCTCCCAGACTTTCCTACCTGGGCTAGCTTTGAACTATGATCTTCAGATCTTAGCCTCCTGAGAAGCTAGTATTACAGATGGGAGCCACCAGCACCTGGCTTGGGTACAGTTATTTTTGAGGTGTCATTGCTTCTACGTCCTGTAACTACTCACAGCTAGGAAACATAAAAATAAGTGTATGTTCTCATATTCACAAACACATGCTTATTTTCTAGTCATTCTCTGTGTACTGAGAACCATGAGTTCACACTGATCCTTTTAGTTCTGGCCCAACACTATATTTTATTCTACCCTTCTCACTTTCTGCATTTTACCTCCCTTTGCCTTCAATGAAAAATCGGGTTCATATTTTCTTCAGCGTGTTTACTTATTTGCCCAGTTCATGCACATAACCAATTTCTTGACCACACAAGTCATCTACCTTAGTGCCACTTAGCTTACCTTAGTCAAGAGTTCCCCTTTGCCTCTCCTCACCTCACTGTATTTAGAAAAGTATCTCAAGCATGCCATCTGTGAGAATTTTCTCTTAACACCTCACTAAGAATGTAGAGAAGGGTGATTTAAATTGGGATTGAGGGCTGCTTGGGAGAAGAAAGTAACAGAAAGGAAATGGGAGGGTTATGAAAACTGGTAAGACACATTGTTGAAATAATGATACAGGAAAGCTGTTACTTGGCAGTTGGGAAAGTAAAGATAGCATTTGAGCAATTGAATTTGTGTGTATCTGAATTTAAACTACCTATTGTTTAGTGATCATTTGGCATTTCTTGTGCTTTTGTTCATGAAATGTTGCCTTGTTTTTTTGGCTACAATTTCCTTGTAGATCATGTCATCTGCCTGCCTTGCTGTGGTTTGAGTTCTACCTTTCCAGTTAGTTTCCCCCTCTTCTTGCCTACCGGAAATGCATTGTTTATATAATTGGCCTGACTGACCTTAAGTACTTAGTGGGTTATAGTCTACTTGGGATGTGGGCCATCTTGTTTTGTACTCTCCAACTGATGTTGGGTCATTGAGGAAACTAATATGAGGTCAGCCTCATTTTCAGTTCTCAAATATTTCTACTGCTGTTTTCATAATTTTCTTGTAGTTTAATGCTAGGCCCATCTGGTCTATCTTTTTAGTCTGACTCTCTAAGGAACATTTTGGACTTAAATTTTTTCTTCCCTTCTGTCA